GAAACCGTAAAGGCCAGGTATGGGGAAAGGTATTTTAATATATTTTAAATATATGTTATTTCTGTGATCAAAGCTGAATTTTCAGCAGCCATTACTCCAGTCTTCAGTGTCACATGATCCTTCAGAAATCATTCTAATATGCTGATTTATTATCAATTTTGAAACTGTTGTGCTGCTTAATGTTTATATTTTATATATATTTTTTCTTTGGTGAATAAAGTGTTAAAAATAACAGAATTTAAAAAAGAAAAATTACGACCCCAAACTTTTGAATAGTACTGTATATTGTAGCACAAAATTTCTATTTTGCATAAACACTATTCTTTTTAACTTTTTATTTATCAAAGAATCCTGAAAAAAGTATCACAGGTCCCAAAAATATTAAGCAGCACAACAGTTTCCAAAACTGATTATAAATCAGCATATTAGAATGATTTCTGAAAGGTCATGTGACACTGAAGACTGGAGTAATGATGCTGAAAATCCAGCTTTGCATCACAGGAATAAATTACATTTTAAATTATATTAAAATATATATATTTTTTTTAATTGGAATAATATTTCACAAAATTACAGTTTTTTGTATTTTTGATTAAATAGATACAGTCTTAATGAGCAAAATAAACTTCTTTAAAAAAACATTAAAAATCTTACTGATCCCAAACTTTTGAACGACTGTATGTACATGGATCACAGCACAATTATGATATTTTTTTCTGAAACAACCATAATGACATTATTTTACATATGAAATGCATTCAGGGCTGCATGTTATGAATTCCAGTTTATTTCCCAGTTACACAAATATTTTCTTTTTGCACAATTTGACAAAACTAGATCTTGAATGGTAATCTTGTCCATAATTATTTCACTTTTTATTTAAATATGCCTTTGGCCAAATGTATATCAATCTTCATGATAGTCTGAAAATCTGAGTCTACTTTTGAAAAGTAGCAAAAACAAATGGTTTCCAATTTTGAATATAATCTTCATATATTAAAGAAAATATTTGTGCAAAGTTAAAGAGACAAACAAGCATGAAGTTTACGACATTATTTATATATTATTACATTATCATGATATGTCATTATATAATTATACAATATTTTGTACTGTATATATTTTATATAATTATACTACACGTACACTACTATTAAACTGCAATTATATGTCATCCTGTCGAACTGCAAACCCAAAACCTGTGAATTCTTTGTTATTGTGTGCAGCCAACAAAGATAAACAGAAACGTGTTGCCTATTTATTGTCTTTCACATCATCACATTCGATTCAAACTAAAATACAGTTAGTTACAAGGAAATACTGGTAGACCTTCACAGTCAAAATTGCCCAGTTGACACAAAAAGTCACCGCACAGTGTCTTTTCTTAATTATCTGGGGTGTACAAATTCTTTTCATTAGCATCAAACCTCAGGGGGGCATCTGTCACACTAATCTGAACTGCTGAGTGTTTCAGTTCAAACATGCCCCTCCAGGGCCCTCATCTCCCCCTCCCTCATCCTTCTGAGGAAAGGGCCAGCCTGCATTTGACATGCTACTCTACACCGTTTCATCAAAAAGGAGAGCTGCAGCTCCATTAGCTACAGGATGATATACCATTTCAACAGGGCTTCTTGCTGAAAATGGAAAAGTACCAGAGGGTTGGGGTTTCACCTCATCTTGTTTTCATTATTCCTTCAAAATGTAGAGAAAACACTGCTAATAATAGAAAAGATGACCATTTTACGCTGTGCGTTAGCATAACAAACCCCCATCGCCTCAGCTCAGGAGAGGAAATGAGCCTGATATCTCACCCTCTCCTCCTCCAAAGTTCTCAGCTAAAAGAATGAGAGCGGGTGGGTGTGGGGGGCTAATTGCACTGATAACATCAAGCTCAAGTGTTCATCCATGCATATCCTCAAGCTGCATTCAGCCATCATTCATCCCTGAACGGTATCAGCTACAGTACAGTTTCAGAACAGTAATGTTTTCACTCAGCTAGTTTTTAACGTTGACCTCAGCTGAAATCTTGGCATGGCGGAATATCTGCCGAATCAGCCTTCAAGATGATCATCCTGTGTTAATACGGGGTTACGGTCTGGCTTCAAATTACACAAGCTTAAAAAAAAAAGCTTAAACCAAAGTAAATGAGCTTTAGTTGGGCAGCAGTGTTATTTTAGTATTATTTATATACTATTAGAGTATTTATTTATCTTCAATTAGCTTTTATTGCTATATTTTAAGTTTTCATTTGAATTTTTTGTCATTTTGTTGTGTTTTTGTCATTTTTATTTGTTTTTAATATATCTATTAGGCTTTTTAGTTCTAGTAATTTCAATAAGCCAGCATTTCAAATTTTTAAGCTTCTCATCTAATATTTATTTTAGCTTCATTTCAATTACCAAAAACAATTTTTAATAGTTTTAGTTAACAATGACAGGCACACTAACAATATTAACCCTTGTGCTGAGCTGAAAATCCTTTATCTAATTTGGTGTTCCAAGTCAAAATGTAAATCTCTCAGCATGCTATATTTTCACCAATACTCAGATTCTTTTTTTAAAACTAGTTTCTTTTGTTTAGCAATGGTTATTTATTTATTTTTGGAACTGACTGATCATAGGCCCCACTCATCATATGAGCTTACGCACCTCCGGTTTTGAGTTAAAAAAGCATTATTTGTGAATCATTTTTAATTTTGGAAATTCTCACTTAAAAAATTGGTGCATAAGCACAGATCAGTGAGGCCTTTGATCAATCAGTTCCAAAAAGAAATACAAAACATGTAATAATTGAAAGAAAACAATTTGACAAAAAATTTAAACCAATATTTGACAGTATAGCATAACGAAAAGGCTGGACATATTTGAATTGTAACAAGGCGAGGAAAAATAGTACAAAATACACACATACATAAAGTCAGTAAGTTTTAGTCCAATTAGTATTAATAAATTAACATTAACTAGCATTTTCAGAAAAAAAGAAAATCTCCTGGTCAAAATGGCTGGAACACAACACAAGGGTTAAATAAAAGGGTTAAATGAAATCACAAACCCTTTTGTTTTATGCAAAGACAGCGCCTCTCTACCATTAGTCATAATAAATCTTGGCCTGAATGGAAACTTTGCTATGCTCTCAGCTTTAAGCGCAGGGCTGGATGCCCCACACACATTGACTGCGGGCGACTCTTAGAGAAACCCAACAATGGCCGCAGACGCCTGAATCAATAACTTGGGGAAAGGGAGGGATATCTTAACAAGAAACATGAGCAACGCCATTATGCATTCAGTCGAAAGCAATTAATTAATGCCTGAACACTGCCAATTGCCGGCCAGCGCAAAACAACCCTCCCCCAATCAAGAGGTGGCTGTAATGAGGGTCAGAATAAAGCGAGAGATTCGTTATTTAAAGACAACCTTTAAATTATTCAGGGCAGAAAGCACTCTGCATTGATTGTCATTTTGGCCGCCTTAATCTGGGTTTCAGATTTTAATCTGTGAAAAACACCAACACATGGCGACACAAGTCACCCCCTCTATCTTATCTCTCTGGCTTTGTTTGTGTGCAAGCAGACGTGCCACCACTGATAACATGCCCTGCCACATTACACAGCACAGATATATTATGAGTCAGACTTCCTTGTTTCCTGCACTAGAAATCTTCTTGAGACATCAGGCGACACTTCTGCATCACTGCAAGAATGCCTCTCTCCGTCTGCCGCATAAAGCTTTTGCAATCCACCTGAAACTGTTGGTTAGACTTGCAACATGCCAAAGCAGCTGTAACTTGCTGGAGCTCTTTCTGATTTGTGTGTTGGAGAGGTTGCCTTGGAGACTGACTCAGGGGTCTCGAGGCCAGCGGAGGCCGTGGCCTCTTACGCACACAGCTGTCACATAGCACAATACAGCAGCCAGCTATAATGCAGAGAATCAGACGCGCTCGCTCGGTTCAATAGGAGCACCTAAACATGAAGTTTCTGCAGTTCAAATTTACTTCAGGTACCTGCAATGAGTGTACTGCCTGATCAGATACAGGTAAGCAAATGAAAGTGCAATCAAATTCATATGTGACTTACTGGCCAGGAGGAGACAGGAGAGGGCGATGACGTACAGCTGCCGCACTGCTACATCATAGTGGTCCATAAAGAGGTCGAGCAGGTAGACGGCCAGATGACGTGCCGTAGGGCAAAGCTGGTATCGGTTACTGAGAACAGCGAGCAGGTCAGCAAAGTACCGCCGCATCCCGATCTGTGGAGATTGGGCCTGGTACGTTGGCAACTTCAGCTCCTAAGGAGAAAAGGATGGTATGGTTTTTATGTAACAGTGCATGTATTAGGGCTGTCAAAATGGCTGAAAAACTACATTCGAATTTTGTACTTGAATATTATCAAAAATTATTTAAAATGCATAATTTCAGTTAGGGTGAAGAAAAGCTTTTGGCTTCTCTCCTGAGGCCACAAGAGGGCGTATCATTCAAAGCATAAGATAACATGACTATCTGCGAAAAAAAGTGCATAATGTTTAAAATAATGTTTATAAACCAATTATAATTAAGTTGCTTAAAGGGGTCATATGATGCTATTTTAAAGATCATTATTTTGTGTATTTGGTGTAACAGAATATGTTGACATGCTTTAATGTTAAAAAAACATTATTTTTCAAATACTGTACATTATTGTAGGTCCTCTATGCCCCGCCTCTCTCAAACACATCGTTTTCAACAAAGCCCCCTCCTTTGACAAGCGCAGTCTGCTCTGATTGGCCAGCCGACCCAGTGCATTGTGATTGGCCGAAAACCACAAGCACGCGTCGGAAATGTAACGCCCCTTACCATAATCGAAAGCTTCAGCTTTCAAAGTAAATATCAAGACAGTTAATAATGTCGTTAGTTTTACCATCAGTTCAAGCCCGAAAGGGCAACAGAGTCGCGTGACAGACACAGTGATGATGCAAAACAACTATAAACAAAACAGCATCATGTATGTATGCATAGTTTAATACAAAGGGCGGAAAGCCAATCACACAGAGTAAAATTTTCATTTAAAAGCATGAGATGCAGTGGGATAGGGAAAACCCCACCATAAAGTCTCGATATAGAAAATTCAACGAATATTCGAAATTCGATTTTTTTTTTGACAGCCCTAGTATGTATATAATATTTGGACCATGGTGAGTTACAAAAAGTATCAAAACATTATTTTGTGTATTTGGTGTAATGAAATGTGTTTATGCGGTTTAAGGTTAAAAAAACATTATTTTCCACATA